TAGCCAACTTCAGGTGGGAATATTGGGTCCGATGACTAATATATCCAAGAACCCATCCATCCCGGGAGCTCATTGTTTTTTTCCCCAGAGGAACTTACTTCTTGCAGAAATAACAAGGCCAGCGAGCCTTCCCACTGGGCCTTATTGATTGCAATCCCACCGTGCACCAACATTTCAACTTGATTTTCCATTTAGATATTGAGGCAAGGGATCTCTCTATGCTCGAGTCATGCGGCAAAGGACGCGTTTTGTCTGCGTGTCTGATACACATGGATACACACCCTCCGAAGCGGGCTTCAAACTACCAGCAGGGGATGTCCTGATTCATGCCGGCGACTTGACAAACAATGGAAGCCTAAAAGAGCTCCGCAAGACAATGGATTGGATCTGCAAGGCCGACTTTGAAATCAAAATCATAGTTGGTGGTCAGTCTTTCGACTTGTTCACGCGCCCGACCCACACTTGTTTATCCCAGGCATTAATGGAACCTATATCTTCGCTGCTCGACAAAATGCACCATTTCATTAGAATGACGAGGTCAACACAGAGCCCCTAACCTTTTGAACAGGGAACCACGATGTCACCTTGGACCCATCATTCTACGAAAAGCATGGACAAAGCTTTCACGGTCAGCACCTCGAAGACTCACACCACTGCCTAAAACTCGTCATGGAGTCGCCTTCGGTTGTTCTACTTCGCCACGAGCCTACCGTAATTCGCTTGACGCGAGCGGACGGACCAAACACAGTATTTAAAATATTTGGGTCCCCGTACTCACAATCACAAGGAAACTGGGCATTCGGATATGAATCAAGTGATGCTGCGGCACTGTGGGGTCGAATACCAATCGACACGGACATCATCGTCACGCATACGCCACCACGATCTCACTGCGACCAGAAACCGAACGGAATGTTCGTTGGGTGCGTTGCGCTCCGTAGTGCACTGAGCCTCATTAGGCCGCACTTGGCTGTTTGTGGACATGTGCATGAAGGACGAGGGTACGAACGAGTTCGTTGGCGAGGCAAGCTTACCAACACAGAGGCAGAAACAGAAACACAGCCTGGTTCTGATTCAGTTGATCATGTAGCTCGAGGCATTCTGCCACCCGTGGGCAGCAAGAAACAGAGCCTAGTCGATTTGACTGGCAAACGGGATACACGACTAGACAACGAGGGATTTTCGCACCCTGGGCAAAGACAGCATGATCTGGCAAAGACTCAACCGATATCATCAGCCTCACCGGGGTCAGAGTCATCTGCTGGGGTCCCTGAAAAGGCAAGTCCACAAAACTCGTCCAGCGCTCACCCGTCCCTGGGTGCGGGTAGCCCTGGCTCCAGTAGCCGTGGTTTTGATTACGCCTTGAAAACACTAAGAAAGGAGACCTGCATTGTCAACGCCGCTGTCATGTCCACTAGCTGGCCGCACCAGGGGGGCAAACGGTTCAATTCGCCGATTGTGGTCGATCTTGAACTTCCCGTGTGGCAGGACGACCACGCGGTTGCGAACGGGTGAATGTGTTTCCCCATCGAATTAAGCACCTTTGGAAAAAGGAAATTGTCATTTATTTTGCCCCATCGATCGTAACGGCAATCATTCCTTTACTTTGGCCGTGCATGGTGGCTTGATGCCAGATTTACCATCTCCCTGGGACATAGTGACCTTGTGGGCTTTGGCCCTGTTGACGCCGGTGGTTGGACGCCTTGATGCTTCATGATTTTTAACATTGGTCAGCTAGAGACTTGATGCATGATCCCAGTGCTGTCAGAATGTCTACGCTTACATCATTTCTTCAACCGTGCGCCGCATTGGCCTCTAGTTTGATAGGTAAACCCGTCAGACTGCCAAATGTAACTCGAGCATAAGCTCCATACGCCATCCTGTAGGGATACTTGTAACAGATTTCAGTATTCACCAGATTAATGGAAAGAAGATAATAGGAAATTACGACTATTCGCTCTCCTTCTCTCAAACTGTACAAACATCGGACTACCCCTCTTGTCTCATGTATACCCCGCATGCAATGTACAAACCCATCTGACCGATCGCAATCACATCAAGCCACACGCGCCTGTGATATCACAACTCGAGTTCTCGATTATCATCACCGTAAGTTCCCAAGCGGTACGATGTACACAAGTCATCTGCAATGGGGATCTCCCCAAAACTCAAAACTTCCAGAAACCGCAGCGCTTCCAACCGACTTTTTACTGGCCAGCCTTTGGCCCGCAAGGAGCACCAAAACTTGAGTCAACCAATACATGGCTCATCCCACCCTCTCTTTGGTACCCGATGTGACCATGCGCGGCCGATCATGTATTAGTCATGGGAGGTTGGGAGTTTGTGTTTGTGTTCGATTCTTCAGCAAGGATCTGGGACTGGAACACACTCGCACACACCACCCTCGTGGGAAACACATGCTTCTCGCAAGGGTTACTGCTTATTCCGACACACTCCTTTCTAGAAGGCGTTTAGTGGCTGGGCGAAAAGGTCTGGCCGCACCACTATGTACTCCGTACAACATAAGTACTATGTAATAGTAGATATTACTATTGCAGAGGGTAATACTAGACATCATTATTGCAGGCAACCTGCATTGCATCTGCATTCCTGTTTCCCGGGTAGCAAGCCTAGGTACCACCGTTTCGAGCCAGCCACGGTATCTGCAGTGCATTTTCAGTACGTCTATGTACGGAGTACTCCGTACAGATATTGCCATTTGTAACCCGGTTACCTAGTTACCTGACCTGCTCCGACCTTTCGGGGTTACTATTATTTTAACTATACTCCAAAACATCCACTTTCCCCCTCTGGCTTCCAGCGTCCAATCCTGAATTCACCGACCCCGGTCCTAGTGGGGTTGCGTGACTATCAAGGAAGAGGGGTATTTGTAGATCACGGTTTAAGCGCATAAGGTTACAACCCTGTGTTTCGGAGAGAGGCTTTGTGTGACCTCGCGAGCATTGTTGATGGGACCGGAGGATTATGGATTCGGCTGGTGCAGTCTAGTTGGAAAGGACGAGAGTGGTCTAGTGATATCATTTGCCTGGGGATAGATCGACCACTCCCAGACCGAGAAAGGGTATATAGCACAATCACAATCACTATCACACAGAAACTGTCAAGTGACAAAGTTAGTGAGATAAACAGAGTAAGGGCTATCGAGTTAGAATATTTTGAGGCGGAAATTTGAATGGATGGGCCATTCTCGCCTTGAGACATGGGAGACCTTAATCCTCCGTAATAGATGGAAAGATATATGACATTATTAGTAAAATGGAGACTATTTAGGCAATAGCAATAGTAATACAGAGTAGTAAGATAATAATGTGGTGATGCTGACACGGCGTTAACTCGCTCGGCATTTGGACCTTTCCCAATAAACTTGTCATAATCGGGGCTGGCACACGCATCAACTCCGTTCAACATCGGTCTAGATAATTACTACGCCGCGCGGACCGCAGTACCGGGTCCAAATGACTTGGAACCAATGGATAGGCCGCACCGTCCGAGACAGGAAAAGTACGGAGTACAGAGTACAACGTACCTAGGTAGTTTCATCAAGATAGTCTACTGTGATTGTCTCATGGTCTGGAAAGGACAGATTAATGGTTGGAAGATACGTAGTCTCGGGTGGGGGGTGTTTAGCAAAGACACGTTGTATAATGGGGCCGGTGTGGGACAAGTGCCAGCTGTACCAGCTGTTTTGGCTTGGGAGATTATTGGGTGGGAATCAATGCCTGAACTGGGCAAGGTACTTCGTGTTAGGATCTAGATAATTTCTGTGCCTGGGTAATAATATTCGAGAGGTGCATTCCTACTGAACTCAAGATGAGGATCAATTATTGGATATTGAAGCATATACATAATCTACTAACTATATATAGAAATATAGAAATATAGGAAACATGCACATTCTTCAGAGAAGGGAATTTAAGGCCTACGGAACCTTTCGGGAAGACGGGGGTATTACCATGGGACAAGTCAGGCACTGATTCCATTTCTTTACTTCGTATACTCCGTAACGTATAACGTACCTGGGTAGAATATACAAGGTCAACCAAACACCCAATTAAATGTTTCAGGTTAAATATGTGAGTTGGATATGACTGGTTGGGGGGGTTGTACCTTGGACAAGGCGAAACAAAATTCAAAGCGAAATAATAAAGCGAAACAAAGCGAAAGCAGTGAGGCGACCGAACCTAAAATGGCCTAAAACCCGCAGGCACTAGTATCAGAAAGTTGGGGATATATGCAGGAGACTGAATTGAGAAGCAGAAAAGATTAGTGCCATGACGATTTCCAAGAGAAGGGGGGGCGACCCGATCCCTTTCTAGAGAGATCATGGTCCTCGTGTTGATCGCCCCACTGTCGACCAGATATTTTCTGGATTTTGATTGGAAGGAATTTGAACAAATCGGATGAAGTGCTCAGACCAATAATAACCGGTGAAAGCCAGAGAGTCCTGGGGAAGAGAAATGATTTTAATTACTTAGAGGAGGGGGGTAGGATATTAGATTGGGCATCTGGCTTTGTCTTTGATAAGATCTTGTAATTCTTTTTTTTCTATGTCTATGTGACTCTTTATGACTGGAGATTATAACATACAAAGTACACACACATTACCCAAGTAAACTCCAGACCTTCGATTTGTGGCGCAGTCATTCGCCCCCTGGCATATTAGTCGGTTGGCTCGGAGTCTGAGAATAGACGGCAACTCTGACAGCTGATTCATTGTCCCATCTGAATTTGTATCGGTTTTTTGTCTGTCAAATTTTCACGGCAAATCGGCCATATTGTTGATTCCTTTTACTTCTTCCTGCATTGCAAATCATCTCCAGTTCATTCTGGATCGGTGTGGAATCTTTGCTACGTCAACATTGGAACGTCAGTTTGTTGACATTCCATATCTCTCCACCGCTTCTTTCCCTTCCCCTCTCTCACTTTTATCTTCTTCCATCCCATTCAATTCAGGGCATTGAAAGCAAATATTGTCCACAATGTCCTCACCACCAGATATAGATCCATATGCAGTGCTTGGTGTTGCCAAGGAGGCCACCATCCCTGAAATCAGGGCCGCCCATCGAAAGCGGGTTCTCAAGTGCCATCCAGACAAGATTCAAGATGAGTCGCAGCGAATTGCTGCCCAAGATGAATTCCAGAAAGTCCAACAGGCATATGAACTGCTTTCAGACGAGGTCCGACGGACTAAACATGACCAAAAAGTCAAGATAGCCGAGTTGAAGCGTGAACTGCTGGAACGGAGACGAACAGAATCTACGTACAACTCTTCACGGGGAAGTGGATCCGGCAGTCGCGAATTCCGCAATGGCCACATCGTGGAGGAGAGGGTCCCGATGGAGGTCTTCTTCGAGGAGACAATGCGATTCACGGACGAACCACGCTCCATGTCATCTCGCAAATACGAAGAGTTTGGCGCGCACCCAAAGTCAAAACCGACAGAAGAGAAGAAAAAGACTCGGGCACCGACGAGCATGTATCACCAAGCGAAGGAAATGCGGGATACAGCCAAAGCGACACATTCCGACCGTGCGAAGACACGCGATCAGGAGCGACGACGACAGACCGAGGAAAAGTACAGTATCTTTGAATCTCATGCCGAATCCGACGAGGAGGCATCTGATTCCAGTGCTCCCCGCTATGTTCACAAGCGAACTTCAACAACGCCCCGCCGAGAGCGTGATTCGCGATCCCGACCATCGGAATCCTCTCGTCGCCGTGCACGCTGCTACGACGAAGATGGCGATTTGTCCGATCACTGGCAATCAAAGATCGATAGTCAGTACTTGAATGCAGAGGATTATATCGCATCCAAAGCCCGAAGTTCCAAGTCCCCACGACGGTACCATGGTCACGATTCGGCGGAACCAGAGTCCTCCAGTTCACGATCCGCAGGACGGTCCACCCGCACCCGCCGTCGTTCTTCGTCGCGCGACAATTCCTACGAGCATCTTGAGTCGCCCCGAGCCTATGAGGTCAAGCCTCCCAAGATGCAATCCTCGGCAACCTCCCCGGGTATCAAGGCATCTCTCCGCCCATCGTTCCTCAACACCCGCTCCGCAACCAACGCTGGCTTCACCCGCCCAAAGCGGGAGAGTCGCGACTCCACACTATACGAAATGGCCCACGAGCCACTACCATCACGAACTTCCAAGATGCGCGATCGCAACGACTCGGGCTACTCCAGTCCCGGTACTCCTGAAATGCTCCCAAGGGGCACTTCTCCCAAGACCCGCTACAAGATTGTCAAGGAACCAGACCACGTGGTTGTAGAACCAAAGTCATCAAAGTACCGCTCAGCGAGATCCCCCGACCGGGACCGCATACCCCCCTATACGACAGACACCCAAGCGAAGCAGTACCTTCCAAACCTACACCACGGAAGCCTCGCCTCGGGTTGAGACTCGGTCTGCGCGCCCTTCTTCTCGCCCCTATCCGGACGTCGAGTATATCGCCAATCCGAAAGACAAGGACATCAAGTACGCCCGGGCATACAAGCACGATGATATTAATTTCTCGCCGAGACGCGCCTATTACCCCGACGAGGAATATCGTCCTCCTGCTGTGGGCAGACGTCAGTCTGCCTATTAATTCAATCAACCATGAAACCCATGAAACATGATCACGACAAATCACGCCTGCAATATGCTTCACATTTTACATTTTAAACATTATCTATTTTTTTTCCCCCTCAATCTTTTCAAGGAGTCCGGGCGTTTCCAATTCTCCGCTTTCCGCATATGCGTCAGCCTGTTCCACTGCGCATTGGGGCTTTTTTTTGGACTGAGATTTCCATTAGTGTCACCTGCTTATCCCCGCGGAGCTGGGATGAGTGGCTTGGACCGGGGTGTATCTTTGTCATTGCTGTTGGCGCATTAGGGCGGGTATGGGTGTGGATGGTGTGTTGCATCTGTCTTGCCTCAAATCCTGCACTTGTGGTGTATGAAAGTGTCCTGTCGGGTTCTGCGTCTGACTACATTCTTCTTTCTCCCGTTCTTCGTTTTTTTTTTTCGCTCTCTTCTCTTCTCTCTTCTTTTTTTTATATACGATGTTGCTCCCGGGCTTTTTCCAGATACCCCGTGGACTACCTACCTGGTTGGAGAAATCCAATTAACGAATTACGCATTTTCACATGATAAGTTATGTCATAACCTTGATCCTTTTTTGGTTTCTTTGTTTCTATTTTTTTACTCTTTCGCGTTGTAAGACGGATATGGTTGGGTTGGGTTGGGTTGGGCTGGAAACGAGGCCACAGAAAGTGGCGGGGAAAGCCTCATAAGTTTGTGTACGGTGATCGGATTTTCTAAGAATAGACTGTTGATGTATTTAGGGACACTTGATCGACCAGTGCAAGGTTGGAAATTGTTTAGAAGACTGCAACTGCTGACTTGTTATACTATTGGGGGCTATTTAGCCTTGTTGAACCGCCAAGGGTCGATCGAGGCTCAATACGAATTTGATTGGCACTTCCCCCATAGGAACAAATTCAATACAATAAGCTTTCATTCTACTCATCCCTGTCTGTTTAACAAGAGGCTGATACATGTTCATAGGAGATCTTCTATTCAGCATGACCTGGTTCCAAGGTTAGCCTGGATGGAGGATGGATGGCACCCACACCAGAGGCACCCTGCTATTCAAAGTAGAGATGCAGTGTTTCGGGCTAAATATCGAGAACAATAACAAGTATCAAATGGGGGGTCGAGATCTATTGTCCCTTTGAACAGAAAATAGTAAGGTGTAATCACAACAAGGCTTTTTAAACATCTCATCACCCAGGTACATGGTTAATATGACTTCTACTCTCGGCTATTTGTACTAGATGCTTTCTTTATCTCTCAATTAACTGAGAATTAAGACTGAAACTGAGACGTATTGATGCGTTTTATTCCTGTTAGAAAATCCTCTCCACAACTCCGAGTGACAAGTTTTACGGGTTAGGAGATTAGCTTGCTCCCAAAGACTATCAGTCTATCGCAAGCTGTAGGGCCGTTCATGTTATAGATTTGCATGTTTCATATACTTATTCGAATTCGTTATCAGCGATAGAAGCATCAGAGTAATTACTACCTACGGCGAACAAAGATGGACTACCCTAGCCGAAAGCGTTCAGATAACATAAAACTTGACTGGAATTCACGTAAGATAGCGAACATACTACAACTAGGGGTTTATCCAACCTGTCGATAAAATGCAATATATCTCGAAACCTGGTTCAAATCTATAAAGATTGATACTGTCGCCATCTTCGCGAAACTCCCGTCAGGCAGGTGTTCATCGACAACATTGGCAGACAGCTTTGTTCACATCACAGGATCTGGCATATCTGCTAGATCTATAGCTTCTCGGGATACTGGACTATTGACACGTAGTGTCAAGCCTCTCCTACTAGCTAACGATGGATTTGCCTGTAGCGAATCCCCTTGGAAACCTACGTGCGATAGCAGTAGAAGTCGCTGGGTATCTGAGTTTGGTGGTGTTCTAGGTGATATTTAGACGAATGGTTTTTTACCTGTTTCGCCATAAGGGTCTTCCAAGGGTTGAAAATAGGTTATACAGACAAGGCCTGATGATATGTCTCCATCGTCTTATGAGTTCACGAGCTCAGTCATAATCCTAACCATATGGATATCACTAATTTTATACTTAATTCCAGGAGTTGTCTAGATAATTCTGGCGCCCTATTTCTAATCGTAGAATATATAACCTGTAGCATTCATGATAGTCATTTCCTTCACTCTTGCCCACCAAAAGCGGGATTTGGGGTTGAATACTAGAAGGCAACTTTTGCTACAATAGGGAGAACCGTAATGATCAGTTTGGTGCTTAAAGGATTTCGGATGTTATATTGGCTTTGAACTTCATTTATTGTGGCTCGGATACTCTAGTATAGGTTTGTACTATTGGGCGGTTTCTTTTTGTACGTGCTATATTGTCAAAATCTTTTTAAGTCGGTTTATATGTAAGCGTATACATACTGGCATATATCGAGTTCTGATGGTCTGGTTGTGCACGGACATACGCCACGATAGATTGGTTTTGCGCCACTGTGGGTTCGACGGGTATATGTAGATCCCCCGCGATATTGTATGAGATAAAAAAAGGAAATTGGGGTTATTCTCATATTGGTAGGATTCATTACCTAGCCTCACTAAGGAAGGCACACCATCTGAGGTAGGCACAATCTGGGGACCTATTCGGGAAGGTACAATCTTGCCCAGGTGGAGACTTGATAGCCCTGGAGGCTTTGCAGGAACCTTTACCAAGGCCTCCTGGTGGAACCCTATGGCAATCGGCGATGCTCATCTTAAACGGTCCGATGACGCACGCAGAGAGTATCGAGGATTCCGAGAAACCAAAGCACGACAATGTGGACCGTCCGGATCATATCGCACAAGCAGAGCAATTTACCATGCAACTATCTGGTTATATGCTAAAGGTTTCTTCGATGGCAAGAAAATGTGTTAACTATGGACGGCGACAAGCCTTTCTTTGTCTACGGATGTAAAGGCCCCACCGGAGGCTATTCTATGACATATCTTGTATCGTGATTACTGTTACATGTCTTTTTGCTACGAAAGAAGAGTAAAGTTCCCCCAATCTAATTATAAGTGTCAAATCGGATTTGGGACACCATGCAAACGTACAACTATTCTTCTACAGTGCTAAGGCACCTGGGTTTCTATCATCTAGAGCTTCTTATTATTATTCGTGGATGCCTCAGAGCACAAGCAAATTTGGCAGACATTCCGTAACAGAAAGCTGAGGTTGCCAGGCATCGAGCGAAGCAAAATGCAGCATGTCAGACAATTTATACGCATAGCCGAGGGTCCATATGTTCCAGTTTCAATTTATCGACGTATTTTTCTAGATGTAGGTAGGCAAGGTTATACTAATAACTAGCTTCCAAAACGGTATCCCATATTATATCTGTAGAACCAAATATATATTCAGATTATCCAAGTCCTACTTCACAGAGGACAGAGGCCATACACAAAGCTGGTTTTTCTCTTTACGGCAGTACAAACAAGTGGTATACATAGTTGTGGTAATGTCAATATCAAATCACTGTTGAGGTAAAGGTAACCGAAGCTATGTACAAGAGTGGGAGACACCTAGTAATGGTATCATATATTAATAACAAGCCGCCAGGGTTCTATGCCTACCTTGGCCTAATCTACTTCTTGCTAGCACACTGTGTCTAGACGCATGCGCACCAATTTTCTGCTTTAAACAAGAACGTACAATGCACACATCTAACGAGCAAAATCAGGGTTAGAACCAAAGATACTGGGATGTTGCATATCTTAGAGTGAAGATGTAGAGCTTACCATAGACAGACCCAAAATCATTGAGAACCAGAAGAAGGCATTCTAGGAAGGAAGTCAGCGAGAGCCGCAAAATACCAAATCAAACAAAACAACAGCTTACATTGAGAATTGTGCGGCCACGGAAAAAGCGAGATTTTTGAATCGCAACAATAGGCAGCTGAAGCATCATAGCCAGGAAACCGTATCCCCGAAGCTTCTTGGTGATACAACTCATGACTAGCTCGTGGAATATAGAGCTGACTAGGAATGTGATGACCATAGCCACAGGTTGGGAGAAATTACACCTCGCGGGCCAGTAGACGTGGCGGAAGAGGAAATGGTGGACAGGGACGTTCCACTCGCGGGAAAATTCCAACCTAGATAGCAATTAGTTAATCAAATTACCTGGACGTATGAAACTGCAATTCCAACTTACCAGTCACAGGAATTCCACCAATCTGCATAGAAGTGACGATCAGCGAACCGAGTCAGCTCTGCAAACGCACCCAACACATATTCGAAGATGACCAGGAACACCAGCAGGAAGATAATCATGAAGGGAAAGAGGAGCATGCTGATGGTTTCGGCAAGGACGAGAGCCTTGTCTGTGACGCTGTAGACGACACGGAGCTGGGCACTGGCCTCTGCCAATACAGGGACGATGAATTCCTCGCTTGTCAGGGTGAGCAGGAAGATGCAACCAAACACAGCAGCCGCCTTCCAGCCAATTTCTGACCAGCGTCGCTCCTTTCGGCGGGGATACTCTAACTCATAGCAAAGGGTCGGACAAAAGAGGAAGTCCACATAGTTTCCAATGTGCAGGTTCTGCGGGTACGAGATGTTGCCCAGCGGGGAGGTCAACTCTGTGGCCAGATCTTCGCGCAGTCTCTCCAATGGTTCTGCGGGCTGATCTTCGTCGTGCTGCTTCATTGACGGCCGACGTCGGTGTACCTCCGGGTAATGAATGGCAGCTGGGGGCTCGGGTGCCTTTTGGCCTGGCTTATCGAGGGAGGCAAGGCGGCGCTCCGTCTCGCTGAGATGCCCGTTATAGAAAGCGTACGAATGCAGCTTCATTAGAATGGTCAGAGTGTGCAGCGTGAAGAACACCTGCGCAGTCCAGGTCCATTGCATCATGAAGGGCCAGCTGTTTGCTCCTGTCAGCCCTCGTCCAAGTTCCAGTGTTCCAACGAGCCATAAACTCACTTTATCCATAGAACCAGCCAAAATGCCTCACCCAAGCTTTGTAAGATCATACCCCCGCGGGCCCATCGCAGCCACTGC